CCCCCCCCCCCCCCCCCCAGCCAGGATGTCATTTAGGATGGTGACCTTCAATGTTCATGGCTGCAGGAAGGGTCTCCAGAGATGCCAGCTGCTCTCCTTCCTTCATGAGGGTGATTACCCCATGGTGCTTTTGCAGAAGACCTGGATGACTCTGGCTGACAAGCCTAAATGCCAGCTGGAGTGGGGAGGCAAGGTCTTTTTAGTCACCTCTTGGCTACCTCTTGCAGGGTGGCTACCCTGTTCTTCCCCAGGCCTGCAGCCGGAGGTTCTCCAGGACATGGAGGTGGTGCTGGGCTGCCTGCTGCACCTCCGGGTCCAAGTGCAGGGGCTGGTCCTGAACCTTTTTGAACATGTATGCCCATGCAAAGGACCCAGAATTGGTGGACTTTTTTCCACCAGGCGTGAGGGTTGAGAGTGCCAATGTAAATGGACAAGTGCCTGGTCCTTGGTGGGGATTTTAACATCATCCTAGAGGCACGAGACCAGTTGGGCAGGGAGTGGAACCAGGCTGCTGTGGGCATCCTCAGGGAGCTCTTGATGGATTACTCCCTGGTGGACATCTGGCATGCCTGTCACCCTACTCATCTCATCACTTCCACCTATGTGAGGGTGGGGGAGGAGCATGCATGGGACTCCTGGTTGGACCAGGCTTATAACTTTGCTGCACTTTGCCTGGGCCCACTCCTGGCATCCAACCAACTCCTTTCAGTGAGCACCACCTTGTCTGGGCCCAGGCCACACTAGGGCATGGGCATGTGAGGGTTGGCCTACTGGTATTTCAATGCCAGTCTGCTGGAGGATGTGGTCTCCAGTGAGGCCTTCCAGGAGTTCTGGCTGGTTGGGTGGGGACAATGGGCAGCTTTCCCCTCAGATTGGAGATGGTGGGATGTGGGGAAGGTGCACATCCCAGCTTTTTTGCCACAGTTACACGCGGGGGATACCCGTCAGAGGGGATGCAGTCCAGAAGCAGCTCAAGCAGGATGACCACAGCTCCTGTAGTGCATTTGTCTGCTCATGTGTCCAGCTTCTTCAGGAGATGGACCACAGCTCCAACTTCTTCTATGTCCTAGAGATGAGGCGGGGGCCCAAGAAGTACTTCTCCTGCCTTCTAGCAGATGTCAGCACCCCCCTCACAGATCTGGTTGAGATGTACCAGCATACAGTGGACTTCTACAAAGACCTCTTCTCCCTGCATCTGACTAATGCCAAAGCCTGTCAGACCCTGTGGGAGGGACTCCCACAGGTCAGTACAAGTGCCTGGGACCAGCTGGGGGCTCCACTCACTCTGGCTGAGTTTTTTTTTTTCTTCACCACCCTCCACCTGATGCCTGGCAACAAGGCACCAGGCATTGATGGGCTAACCATGGTGTTCTACCGGGCCTTCTGGGATGTCCTGATCCTGGACTTTGCTGCAGTCTGGGCTGAATCCAAAGGAAGTGGGGAACTTCCTCCATCAGGCCAGGAGGTTGTGCTGAACCTCCTGCTGAAGAAGGGGGATCCCCACAACCTGAGGAACTGATGTCTCATGTCCCCCCTCTGCACGGACTAAAAAGTAGTAGTGAAGGCCCTCTTGCTGTGCCTGTGGTCCATGCTGATAGACGTTATCCATCCCAACTGGATGTACATGGTGCCTGGACGTTCCATCCTTGACAACCTGTACCTGGTTTGGGACCTCCTGGAGCTAGTGCACTGGGAGGACCTGTCTTTTCACCTTCCTATCCCTGGACAAGGCAAAGGCACATGACAGAGTGGTTCATGGGTACCTCATAGGCATGCTGTGTGGGCTTTTGGGCCCCACTTTGTGTGGGTTCTCCAGATGCTGTACACCTCTACAGCATGTTTGTTCAAGCTCAGCTGGACCCTGATGGAGCCCATCCTGTTCAGGAGAGGGGTGTGTCAAGGCTGCCCACTGTCAGGCCAGGTATACGCCTTGGCCCTGGAGCCCTTCCTTGTCCTCCTGTGGAGGTGGGTGGCAGGGTTGATGCTCCGGGAGCCAGCAGCATGGCTGGTTTTGTCAGCGTATGCTGTCAATGTATTTCTTGTAGTCCAGGACTTGGGCAACCAGGTGCAGGTGAAGGCCTGCCAGGCATTGTACTTGGCAACCTCCTCTGCCTGGGTCAAGAACTTTGGTCTGATGGTGGGTGGCAGGTAGGCTCGCTCCCACACATGCTTCACCAGATCCACTGGTTCATGGGGTCGCTGCTCTTCTTGGGGGCTCTACTTGTCCCCCACAGGCCATGCCCTCTGGAGAACTGGCACCAGCTGGAAGCAAGGGTGGTGGAACAGCTCTGGTCATGGGCAGGGATCCTGAGATGTCTCTCCCTGTGTGGGAGAGTGCTGGTGCTGAACCAGCTGGTCCTGTCCATGCTCTGGGAATGCCTATGTCCTCTGAGGTCCTGGCAGGACTCCAGAGATGGGTGCTGGAGTTTTTCTGGCCAGGACAGCACTGGGTTGCTGCAGAGGTCCTGAGCCTCCCCTTGCAGGAGAGTAGTCAGAGCCTGGTTTGCCTGCATAGCCAGGCCCTGATGTTTTGCCTTCAGGCCCTGCAGCAACTGCTAGATAGTGTCAGTAGCCACATGGCATGGGGCAACCTGAGGTGTGCCTTCCTCTGCCACTTCTGGGAGCTCTGATATGACTGGCAGCCTCTCAGCCTACAGGACTTCTCCCTGCAGGACCTGTGAGGGCTGCCAGATTTCTTCCAGGACCTCCTCTGGGCCTGGAAGCCAGTTTCTGCCTCCAGGTCCCCTGCAACTCTCGTCCAGGGAGCCAATCTACTTGTAAAGCCCCTCCTCTGGAACCCCCAGCTGGAGGTGCCAAGAACACAGGCGCCCCAGTTGTGACGGGTTGATCCTGGCTGGTGTCACCTATATCAGAGACCTCCTGGACTATGATAGGCAGGAGTGGGTGGATCCTGTGCATGGGTCTACCCATGACACGTGTAACCTGCTGTCTGCTCCAGGAGGAGAAGTCTGCCCTACCTCCCAATGCCCTTGCCCTTTTTGATTTGGACCTGTGTGGTAGTGGTGGTCCCTGCTCCCCTGTGCTCTCCAGCCTACCAGAGTTTGTCATGGGGTTGGCACTTTGCCCAACCACTGTGCTCCCTACTCCGCGACCTAAGCTGGCTGGAGGACACCAGACCAGTCTGCTTTTCCACCGTCCATCACCACCACCTCTACATGCTCACATGCCACCCTTGCATCCTGCCCAGACACCAAGTGGTGGGATCTGCTTGGTGAGGGTATAGCTGGGGCACCCTGGTGGCTGAGCCTGTATTCCACCTTTATTCCATGAGCCACTGGGGACCTCAGATGGTGGCTCCCCCATGGAGTTGCCACCATGAATGTGTATGTGATAAGCTTCACAGCCACCATGGTCTCCTGCCCCTTCTGTGGGCAGAGGGAGACCGTGGCACACATGACTCTCAAGTGTGCCAGGATGCAGATCCTCCACTTCCAGAACCTCCTCCTGAGGTTCTAGTTGAATTTCACCCCCACCTTTTTGTTTTTGGTCACCCCATACGTGGCCCCACCATGTCCCAGGACCTCCTGGTCAACCTCCTCCAGGCCCTGGCCAAGTGGGCCCTGTACTTGACCAGGAAGGAGGCTCTGGCCAGGAAGGTGCCCAGAGACTGCAGGGCCACTTCCCTCTCACTTGTCCAATCGTGTTTCTGGGCAGAGTAACAGTGGGCGACATCCACCGGCTCCTTGGATGCCTTTGAGGACCAATAGCTGTGGCCCAGGGGGCTCTGCTTTCTGTTCCCCTCAGGCACACTTATTTTTATGTTTTGATCCTTTGACCCACACACAACTCCTATTCTTTTTTTTTCATTAGTTGTCCCAAGATTTTAGTTGTTCCATTTGTCCATTAGCCCTGTAAAAAGGGGCTACTATTTAGCCAGGTGGGCCTTGCCCATGGTAATCGGATGGACAAATAGAGAAGACCTTCTGGGACTTGGCCAATCTCCTCAGATACCATGGGAGCACTACCCCTTGTGCCATCTGGACTGCTGAAGCAGCCCTGAGAGT